GGATTATTTTTCACTTCACACTTCCAAAATGACTAAGAAACATTTTGCCATTATTATTTGAGCATGTACAGAACTCCACTTACAAAAATAAAATACAATAAAAATGCACAGGGAAAAATTATTAGGATTTAAATGGTTTGATATAGAGAGCTTACTGTGCTGTCAACTATACAATTTACCCGTTTCTTAAAGGAGCATAAACTAACTGAAAACAAAACAAAAAGAAAGAAAAGCGCAGAGACGTGCCTGGAGGACAAGCAGTAATATTCACCAAACAGACATTTGTTAGAATTCCAGAAAAGCAGGAAAAGCCAGATAGTGCATAAAAGGTTCTCTTTTTAGTTTCTTTCATTTTTTAACTTAAAATCAAGCTGCATTAAATACAGGCTGTTTGTACAGGACAATTGCACTTCACAAAAACAGCAATATACAAACACACACAAGGAAATGTGAATCAAATTAATTACAGCAAAAAAAAAAAAAAAAAAAAAAAAACTTACTGCTTAAGCTGATTATTTAACAAAAAGAAAAAAAAACCTTGTGGACTCACTTGTTATGGATTATTTTTGTAGGAGGGTATTAAAGTGGGTGAACATAAAGGTGAGACAAGACGGTGGGGATCCTGAACTCCAGAGTGGACTGGTGCTGCACTATTTCAGGTTTGTGTGCATGCAACTCCTCTTCTTCCTCCTCCTCTTCTTCTTCCTCCTCCTCCTCCTCCTCCCATGAAATTCCCTTCTTAGAAATCAAAAGCTCAGAGTGACAGAGAGACAGACTGCTGAGCTGAGTTGCTGTGGGTCTTGAGAGGATGGTGGTTTGTAAACTCTATGCTGTGTTAGTGGTAGGAGGCTGTGTTACCACATGTCGTCTGTGGACGCAGCGTCCTTGATAAGAGAAGAGAGGAAGGAAAAACCCTTCAGACTCTGGCTCTACATCTATAAGGTCTCTATTAAACTGGACACATTTAGGTATGCATGACAGAAACTGACAGATAATGCAAATCATCCAGGAGTTGACAGAGATACTGTATGTGTCACACCAGTTTTCCCCCACAACAGTCTATGATGCAATTCTAAATAATTCTGCCAATCTGGAGATCAAGAAACAGATTTGTATAAAATGTGCCATTTAAGAATGCAGCATTAATTAACTTGTCAGGTATACAACATAACCATCAGGGATCTGGTGATGTCAGCTGACAGGCGTCTGGTTTTTGAGGCCACTTAGGCCTCTATCACCATTTTGGTGATATATAAACTTGGCACTAACCATCCTTTGGGTTGGAACAGTAAATGTGAAAATCGATTCACTGACTACAATAACTATATGCTAGGAACTAAATTTGCAGTGACTGCCATTTTCTCCCATAACTGCCAATCATGTTCAGAATCAGAATCAATGTTTACTGGCTGACTGGGGCATATCTGAGTGAACCTTTATCAGCTATAGATCTGATCAAATTATTTCTTTATTGTACAAATCCCTGCTCTACAGTGCAAGATAGTGGTTCATATGAGGATGAAATCTATGGCACAGTGAACAAGGAAAAGTGTTTGGCTCCACTATGCAACAGAGAGACTGACACAGTTTCAACTGGCTCAGGGAGGTCTACTCCACAACAGCCTGTATAACCGCAAATGGACTGAGTTTTATACTGACCACGTTTTACAGTTCCAGCAACTCTATTAATCTTCTCTACTAAAACGAGTGCCCTCAAAACAATTTCAGGGGGTCTTCTAGTTAAACTGATTTACAGTGGCTTCAGAAGGTGTTCAGACTTCCTGCACACTACACTATGATGAAGATTATTTTAAAACTACAGTATATAACTTAAGTGTTAGGCACGACTGTTTTGTACCTTGCCCGACCACGATTGCTTCCCTGGTTCAGTCCGGATACCTTCTTTAGGAAAATTCCCAATGAAGGTCTCAGGATCGAAACATCGACAGTAAAGCGAGTACAGGTGATGAGCAGTGTGTGGGATTAGTCTCGACTTTTCAACAATACTAATTCATAAAACATCCTTTTTTGCCTAGCAATTTACACCCACAAGCTATAATGAAAAAAAATCCTAACTTTCTGAAAATGTATTTAAAATGTTTCAAAAATTGAAATCTCTCATTTACAAAGTATTCAGACCCTTCATTGTGGCACTCCAAACTGTGGTCAGATGTGTCCAGTCCACCCTTGGCAAACTGAATTGCTTAGAAAGGCACACATCTTTTTTTTATACAAGGTACCGCAAAGGAGACTGCTTCTCAGGACAAAAACCAAGAGCTGAAGACCTGATGATGGCAGGCCAGATGTTTCCCATTGAATCTGATGAAGCCTGAAAGGATCTACCCAAAACCAGGTGTGCAGAGCTTCTAGAACTTTAGCCAAGAAAACTAAACTACAGTGGGCTTCTACAGAATACTGGAATAAGGGTCTGAATACCTTCTGAAGTGACGGTATGCAAAATCAAAATTAAAACTGGAAATGATCTGTGTCCTGTATTACATAGAGCAGCACAGCATTTGATGTGATACCTCATCAATTTTATTCTTTGTTCAAAATAGACCTCAGTTCTTATGCCTGCAACACTTTCCAAAAAAAAAATAAAAAGTTGAGTCAGTAAAGCATTTACCACAGTGCAGCATCACACTTTCCTTTTCAACAACACTTAAAAAAAACTGAGAACACCAATTGATTAAATGTGTCAGGTGGAACTTTGTCCCACTCCTCCTGCAAACAAGCCTTAAAGTACACAACAGTCCTGGGTCTTCGTTGACACAATTTTCATTTTAAATGTGCCACACATTCATTATAGGGGACAGGTCAGGACTGCAGTAAGCCCAGTCCAGCACTCACACCCAGGCCTTGGCAACGTGTGCAGTATGAGGCTTTGCATTGTCTTGTCGAAATATGCATGGGCAAAATGTCTCCATATTTTTCAGCATTAATGGTGTCAGCACAGAAGTGCAAGTCACTGACACAACCCCACAACATAACAGACCCTGGCTTTTGGACTTGCTGCTGGTAACAGTCAGGAAGGCCCTTTTCGTCTTTGGTCCAGAGCACATGGCGTCCATTCCTTACAAAAAAAAAAAAGGCCTGAAATACTGATTTGTCTGACCACAATACATGTTTGGACTGTGCGATGGTCCGTCCCAGATGCCTCCGAGTCCATAGCAGTCGACTGAGCTTCTGGATACTGTTGACATAGGGCTTCCTTTTGTCACAGTACAGTTTTACGCAACATTTATGGATGTAACTACATATTTTAGTGCCTGACAAAGGTATGCCAAAGTAATCCTGAGCCCATGTGTTTATATCACTTATAGAAGAGTGATGATACTTGATACAGTGCTGTCTGAGAGATTGGAGCCCTTCACGCACTGAAATCCCTCCAGATTCATTGAATCTTTAAACCATGTTATGCACGGTAGAGGGTAACATAATCCAAAGCCCTTCCTATATTTCTTTCTTTGAGGAACATTGTTTTTAAACATGTCAATAATTTTATCACCCATATGATGGCAAAGTGGTGATCTTTGGCCCATTTTTGCTCCTAAAGGGCTCAGCCTTTTCTGGATGCCACTTTGGACCAAATCATGTCAGTGTTGACATCAACCATTTCAAATGGAATCATCATTTCATTGTTTAACCTCATTAGTAGCCCTAAAATGCACCCATCCCAACCTTTTTTGGAATGTGTTGCTGGCATCAGAATCGAAATGAGTGTTTATTTTGGAAAAAAAGAACAAAACTGACAAGGTATCACATCAAATAATGTACTGTTGTATTGTTTTCAATGCAATGCAAGACACATGAATTATAAATCACCATTTTCAGTTTTAATTTTACATATTGTCCCAACTTCTTCTGATTTGGGATTGTAATATATAGTCCTGACCGAAATTTATGTAAAGTTGATATTTTTTCACCTCAAAACACATCTATACATTTTACAGATAGTCAATAAGGCTTTGACTAAATGTTTCTTCCTCAAGACAAAACTGCAAAAAATGTCTGTGTCATGCAGATATCTTTTTTGTTAAAATGCAGTAACAGATGTTTCAAACTAAAATTCTCATTCTACTTAACATATCTGTATCATGATTTCTGCCGTTTAAAAATGCCCACATGGCATAGCCCTACAATAATGTCTGTTCTATTATTACCACTTCTTTGTTGTTGAGCCCATTTGAATTTTAGAAACTAGTACAGCTGTTTTAAAACGTGATTATTTCTGATTCAGGCACAATCATTAACCATATAGGGCAGGGGTCATTAACCATATAGGGCAGGGGTGGGCAATTCCAGTCCTCGAGGGCCGCTGTCCTGCTTGTTTTCCAACTATCCCTGCCTGACCTGCTGCTGATTACCTGGCTCAGGTGTGTTCAGCCAGTCAGAAGCTGGAAGATACCATCTTAGATGAAAGTGGAGTGAGGGAAGATAAAGTGAATTAGTATCTTCCAGCCTCTGACTGACTGAACACACCTGAGCCAGATAATCAGCAGCAGGTCAGGCAGGGATAGTTGGAAAACAAGCAGGACAGCGGCCCTCGAGGACTGGAATTGCCCACCCCTGATATAGGGTAATGCAAAATACCTACCACAAATTTTCAATGGTTATTCAAAGTTTACACACAAAGGAACTGTATGCAGTCAGTGGACTTCTTACTACATCTGACCTCCTTTCTTATCAAGCTTTTTGCTTCACACAATACTGACCTATGCCAGAATGACACATCCCCTCTTAACAAGCCTTTCTAATTTTACTAAAATAATGTGAACAATTACATGGCCTTAATGACCCCATAACATTTTCTGCATTTTGTTACAATACAACATGAGTTTAAAATAGGGGGAATTAGTTTTTCTTGTCATAGAACTACATCTTTGACTTGATAAGGGTATTACCTATTATTGTGAAGGTCTTATCTGAGGAACTAAAAGATCGAATGACTCAAATGAATGCATTCAATAAATGATAGACAATTTCTACAATGTTGAAATTTTAGAAAGCACAACAGGGTCCTTCACTTAAATAGTAAAATAATGTAGAGACTTTATAAAAGGTGGTTGTTGATCCAAACTGAGCAAACAGAAACAACAAGCAGGTTGAACCACAGCACCAAAAACAACGTGGAGCAAAACATCAAAGCTATGCAAAATGCTACTGGTGGAACTTGGAAAAAAAAATATACGTAATAAACACAAGGGCTCCATGACAGATTGTCTGTTTCTTAAAAAGAAGACACATAATGATGCAAACAATGAGACTATGAGAGCAGGATGCAAACAGACACGGTGGTCTGATCAAATGACCAAAAAACTCTTTAGCCCTAATGTTACAGTACATGCTATCAATTATAGTTCTGACAGTGTCACTTTTTTGCAGCAGCTGTATGAATACAATGAATAGGGCCAAATATAGACATATTTCCAGTAGAATCTGATAGGAAAGACCAAATACTACTGCTTTAAAAGGGCAACCACAGAACACTAGGGGTGTAACACTATAGTTACTCCACTGTATGATGGATAACATTTTAATACTGAATAAATAAAACATCAGAAAATTCCATATTTTTCTCTGCACACAGTATTAATAACTTGATATGCAAATGTATTCCTGTCTTCATGATTTCATATCATATTTTTAACTGTGAAATACTGTGCAACAGTATAGTGTTACACCCCTACAGTACGTTACTCAGAGCCAAGTCAACACTGGGCTGGCTTCAGAAGAAAACTATGCAAGTCCAGTAGACCTCAAGTTTGAATAATAATTAATAATTTTTAAGAAAGCTGTTCATAGCTTCTCCCCTTCACGCTTGACCAGGCTGGAACAAATCTGCAAAAAGTGGACAATATTGAGCTGTACTAAGATGATAATGGATGTGTCCTAGAAGACCTGAAGGTGGTTCAAGGGACTAATCACTTAAAAGGCTGAATAGCACAAAATAAGATTCCTATGAGTCACTTGGTATTAATCTGCAAACATTTCCAGGATCTTAATTTTACTAAAATTAATTTTTCTGTGTATAACTTTGTGTAAAATGTTGGCAAAAGAAATCTCAATTTAGCCCAGTTTGTATTCAGTCTGCACCATGTAATACACACAAGCGGTCTGTTGGCTAATTAAAATATAGCTGAGCCAGTGAGTTTATTTGATGAAAAGCCCAATATCTAAGTGGACAGGGGACCAGCTTTGCGGTCTGTGTATATACAAAGGACTGTTGAGCAAAGTTTGTTAAGCAGGGATGCACCCATACCAGTACCGAGAACTGGGTTCAATACCGCGCCCCATTACTTGTACTCATAAAAGTCGTCAGCAACAACATGCCAGCCTGGCGCTGGTTGAGCAGGTTCTTAGATGGATGCTGAATTTCAGCCATTTCAATACATTTTAAGAAGTGACAATAACAAAAGCAAAGCTGACCACAAGGCTCTGCTCTCTGTGTCTGTAAAGGGCGAGAGGAAGGGAGGGGTGCGCCCACAAGTACACACACACAAAATGGAATAGAGAGAAGTTTCTATTTTACTTGTGATGACAGCACTAAATATGTGCAACAAAATCCTCCAGTAATGGAGAGAGTAATGCCAAATGGCCCAAGATCTGTTAAATAGCAGAACGCAAACTTAAAAGAATGGGACATCTTCACTCACCCCATGGTCCCATTCACCCACTAAACCCATACGGTGAGCGTTATGCTGATTGACGTTAATTGTTGTGAAAGAAAGGAAAGCAAATGCTCTATGTAGTTAGCAGTTGAGTCTGATTAGCTCTCTATAAGGAAGTTAGTTGAAGTCCTGTGGACTTGGAGGCTCAATGGCTCCTCTACCAGTACAGGTGTATTGTGCTGGAGCCAATCCCAGCTGACACTGGGTGAGAGGCAGGATACACCCTGGACAGGTCACCAGTCTATCACAGGGCTGGTTTATTTAATCACAATCAGAAAGTTAAAGGCTCTATTCTAAGATTTCATGAGAACATAAATTAACTCTAAAATCACAGCACTTTTATGGCCATTTTGATTTTTATAGTAGAAATATTATTACTATGGTTAAGTACTTTTATCATACTCTACTTGTACGCAAACGTAAATACTCATACTTGGTCTGGAAAAAAGTGGTATTGGTGCATCCCTATCATCAGGTATATAAAGCCCCTTTCAGACATGGGATACACGGCACTGCTGGCTTCAACCAACTGCTAAAGCAACTGGTTTCTGTCATTCAAAACACAGGTTACATTAACGCTAATGTTCCTTAACGCTTCATTCAGACATTACCCCCATGTCCTTTTACATTAGTGTTCCTTAACACTTCATTCAGACATTACCCCCATGTCCTTTTACATTAGTGTTCCTTAACACTTCATTCAGACATTACCCCCATGTCCTGAACGCGTCGGCTTCATTTTTGCCATGAGATTAATGGAATTAAGAGCACGTCTGAAATGGGTTTATGAGAACGCAATGTCGATTCCATCCACACAAACACCAGACAATTTCACTTATTAGCTCTTTTCACGCTGATTTAAAAAAATGTTAGTTAAACATTAAAGTTACTACTGAAATCAGCTCATGAGGCCGTAGACTGAGCCTTTATGGCACAGAACTTATAATGTAATCACGGCCCTATGTCAGGATTAAAGCAAGTTTTGTCCCTGAAGAATTACTTAGACCGTTTAACAAAAACAAACCACTTTCTGCTTGTGTCAGCCATACCAAACGTGTAGTATAGTAAGAGCTGATGTTTTCATCCATTTCTCAGCTTTAAAGATTCACATAAAGCTACTGTGGACAAGTCACTGTGTCATGACAGGATCGATCTATAATGGTTTTTTTCCAACTGCAATTTGAAGCTTATTTCATTGTTCCATCTCACTGAATACTAATAACATGCAAAAACTGGTTAGAACTTGATCGTCACACATCAAAGAGCATGCACACACTAAACAAAGCACACCTACAGGGGAGTTAAAGACAAGCTGGGATTACTTACTGTGTCATCACTTCGGTAGGGATTCAGCTTGTTGTACACCGCTTCAATAACACTTCGTCTGAGAAGAAAATATACAAAAATATTCAATGTTAGCTGTCTTTACATGAAATAAAGTAAACACACAAATCCAGTGATTAAACCAAACTTTTCATTGTTTGATAAGGTCCAACAACAAAGCTCACTCACTTGCTTGCCAGCTCTCCTCCAGGTGGGAGGTTAGGGATGCTCTCAGATGCTAACGTCCGCATAACATGAACCAGATCCGGGGCACCTTCATCCCCTTGTTTTTTGATGATCTCTGTTGGAAAACAAAATTATATTCTGATTGATATATAAAATTTAACAGTTAGATTAATGTTAGCTATGTAAGAATGTGCAGTACAGAAATATGACTGAAAATATTAACCAAGTAATTTTTGTGGTTGTGATGTCACCAGTAACCATGTTAAGATTGAAAACATGTTGACTATTCTTTAGAAAACAGCAAAAATAATTAACATGCAACTGTCCATGGACTGTAGTAAATACTTGATTTAGGTCCTCAAAAAGGAAAATGTTATGAATGTTGCATATTTTAAAGCTGGTGGCAATTTCACCACAAAGAACAAGAAGTCTGCAAGTTGATGTTTCAGTATTTAGAACTTTTCAGCGGGACTATAATGCACAGAACATTAACATTAAACTGATATAGAGACCTGCTTAAAAGGATAAGATTGTGATGATGAGTAATCCAATGAAAATAAATTAGACATTTAAGAACCCCCAGCAGCTAGAATCAAGCAGATTACAGTAACATTGTAATGCCTACATTACACCCAGTAAATGTGCCTGTTTTCATGTTCTGTTCTTTCTGTCCACTGCAGATGCTCTGTGATTGTAAGTGAATCAAAGGAAAACAACTGCTTCCTTCAGACGGCGATTTGGATTTTCACTGACTGTACACAAAACTATGGCATATAAACTTTGCAATTTTCTATCAATTTAAATATTAATAATGTAAATAAGGCAGCAGTATTTAAAATTTGATGTAAAAACTGACAAGGAAACGATCATAACCAAAAGGGGAAGATGAATTATTTTGTCCATAACCTACTTTCTGTGGTGGTCTACTAAGCCAAAAATATCATATATACAATATAGAGATGTCCTGATCTGATAATAAGTATCGATATTGGTGCCAATCCGGGCATATTTCACAAGATCAGTATCAGCCAGAATAAAGCCGATCCAATTCTGATCCTTATTTACTACAGTTCTGTATTTGAGCACTCAGTCATGTTTTTGAGATGTACACGTCATGCAAAGGATAAGCTGCTATATTAATTAGTCCAGCTGTCTACACTGCCTGTGTGCTGGCCGACATATCACTCGTGCTTTATGCACAGAGCCACAACCTGAAGCCTATATTTAGCTTCAAGTCTTTTTTTTTTTTATTTTTTTTCCCCCCCCTCCGGAGCTACACACATAAAATACTCCACAGAATCCACCAAAACAACGGAAGCTCGCTGGTCTAGTTCCACATACACCAAAATAGAGAAATACATGAAGTAAACAGAGTTAAAACAAATCTATCATCAGTTACATGAATCCTACTTAGCAGGGCAGTTCTTTTTAAAGTGTGTGTCACTTTTATTTGCTGATTTGCCATGGGGTAGAATTTACTGTATTCAAGCATGCATGCAAGCATAGCCAGGAATTCCCTTGTGGTCTATTATTTTGAGTTTTGGACAGTAGTTTTCCCTACTTCAAAATGTTTCTGTAGGATCCTCTGCATTTTTATTTTTTTTTTGTACACACTTCATACGAATGACTGAACACGCACCTGGTATAGACACAAGCCTCCCATGATGTACACGTGATGTTACACTCTGCATATGCTGTGTTTCAGTGTAGACGTGTTACATTTTATGCTTTTGTCCAGTGGTGCTACAATAGCCACCACCTTTTAATGCAGCATTAATGTCAAACAAGGATATCTAAATTGGGCTGGTTACACAAACCATGTGCACACATACAGATACAAAATAGTCTATCTGCCCTATAATGAATCTGTAGTTCTGAGTGTGTGTTGTACAGCTCCAAGTTATTATTTATTCCTATAAATAATTAAAGTTAATAAACTTAATATTTTTGGACCAAGACCTGATCCAGCATTTGGACCAAGAGGCTCCTGACATGTACAGATTAATTTCAATTTTAACATGTCAGATATTTAATGAGCATTTACTGTAGGTAAATACAAGTATCAGATCAGAACAGTCAGATATTAATATTAACCTTTATAAGGGGCCCAAAAAAAAAAAAAAAAAAAAGATTGGGACATTCCTAATATATTTCTCCCATACCTTCTACTCTGGCCTCCAGATATTTATCCAGCTCAGCCTCACGTTTCACTGCTTCCGGGGATACCTTAGGGGCTGCAGCAAAGCAGATTAACACAACACTCATATTGTCCCGGCTTCCCTGTGGAAAATAAAAAATAAACACAAAGGTCAAGTAAATCAACCATGACACTAAAACAGTCAAGTCTGAACAAAATGTCAGTGCAGGTTCTGTGGACATGCCATACCTTGTACAAACAGGTATCAACAATTTCATTGCTGACTCTTTCAAGATCATCTGTCACCTCTAGCCTTGATCTGACAAAGTCACACAGTTCCTCATTGGCCATGACATCCCAGATGCCATCGCAAGCTAGTATAATGAATTCATCTTCCCCCTCACATCTCTCTATTGCATAAACTTCAGGCTCAGGAGACACAAGCTGCTCTGTCGGGCCTTTCCCATGTACACACTTGTAGTCGAAGTCTCCCAGAGCCCGAGACACAGCTAGGGACCCATTAACTCGCTGGATCATGACTGAGCCACCGGCATTCTGGATCCTTTCCTTCTCCAGAGGGTTGCTGGGTTTGTGATCCTGTGTGAAGAAGTGCACAGCTCCACCCCGGCTGAGGAGCCCTCGTGAATCGCCACAGTTGATAAAGTAGATATGGTTCGGAGAAATCATCACTCCCACTGCAGTGGAGCCACTGCGATCCACACTGTGCTTCTTCTCAGAGATGGTTCGCATGTGTTCATCAATCTGCAGAAATCCTGTGCGGATCCCATTCTTCACACTATCCACAGAGGGGTCCTCCTGCAGAGCACTCTGGAAGTCTGAGTTGCTGGTGATGTGCTCCAGTAGGTGCTCACAGCAGTACTTGGCCACTTGAGAGCCAGCATGCCCGTCATAAACAGCAAAGAATGACCAGAAATCGAGACCATGAGGCAGACCAATTACTGCTGTGTGTGCATCTTCCATCTCTACACGCCAACCCTGCATGCTGCTCAGCCCATACCTCAGAGTGTTACCTTCACCATGGGAATTGTATTTTTCCATCTTTGGTTTGTCCAGAAAAGCACCCATTGTGTCCCTCTTAAAACCTGCAACAAATGTAAAGACATTAACCCATTTACAAGATATTGCAACAGTTTTGTGCTTTATAAAATTGGCAGTAATTTTAGAACTTGTATCAATATTCATCTAATTATGTTATTATGGAAAGGTAAGGGGGTGGGGTCTGAATAATTTAAAAAAAATGTCTACTGCTACACAGAAGAAGGACAGAATGTTTCAGACAAGACCTTGAGATTAACTCTGCACATCTTCCATCCATTTGTGGCAAAAGATTTGCGTCTTGGAGCCCAGTTTACACACCCTGCTCTAATCTAAAAATAGTAGAACTGTGTACACATTTTAGCTACGTATTAGGAAGACTGCTGGTGTGGATCAAATTAAAACGCCCATAAACCACTGGGTGATCAAGCTTAACATGAAATGTTAAGACACAAACTAAGTTATTAAATCGTATTTGGCTACACCACTGGACAGGATCTCACTGACCTCAAAACATCTCACTAGTTAGTAAGGCTAATACTAGTTAAAGCAATTGATACACGTCCTCAGAGCTAACGTGAGCTAACATATTATTCGATAACCACACAACACAGTCTCGGGAGATCCAACATTAACGTTTTAAGTTTTTTACACCATAAACCTACTGAGCAAGGACACATTTTGCAATACGTTTAATGGAAAAAGTTAACTCTATAGCAAATCCAAAGCACAACGCAAATAAACAAACAGGGTTGTCTAGTTGTGGGCCTTGACCCCTGTCCCTCACAGCTAACTTTGACAGGCCTCTCTACCATGGTTTGCTAACGTAATGTTGAGGCAAGGAGAGCCTTCGGCCTTGCTAACGTACGCTCGCTACATGCGAACATTGCTAGCTGCCCAACACTCTTCAACAGCTGCTAGCTCAATTATAAACATCTTATCACTTACCAACTATCCAAAATAGCGGCTGACAGCAACGGAAGCTGCGACAGTGACCAGGACTGACGGTCGCAGTACACCCAAGAAAAGCTACACCGACGAAACTAGGGGGTTTGCGACGGCTTAGCTAGGCTAGCTAGCCAGTTAGTTAGCAATGAGCAATCGTTACACAACACTCAATGCATATAAATTGTGTAGGTGCTGAGGTGCCTCTGCGTACGCCCGTGATACATTACATTATCTCAGCTGACGATCTAAAGTATAGTCCTACAAATTTTCTTGTGAATTTGTGGGCCGGAGGTTTGTGTGGCCAAGTCAGGAGGAAGCTGAAACGTCTGTCCCAGCCTCTCCGCTTGACAGCTTGCTAGCTAACGTTAGCTTCTGAGGAGTACAGAGCCACAGAGACAGGTCCCGGATGTTGCAGGTTGCGTACTCGAAAACATGACATCATCCCTGAAGAGTTGTTGCTGCTACACAGAGGGCGTATATATAACGATACGGAGTCCCCGAATCTGATAGCCTGCACACTATATCACACAACTGTACTTAAATTGATTGTAGCCCTTATAAAAAAGAAATCCATATTGAGCACACTGTGCGCCACTGTCACATAAAGGAAGGCATAGCTTGCACATGGGATACATTCAAGGCATTCAAATATATGTTTCTCACATATACAAGTAATATGTACAGTGTATTGCAATGTGGCATGCTACAGGGTTTCGATGATGCTGTGGATTGCTGTTAAAAATAATGATTAAAAAATAATTATAATAGATAAAAATTCAAGATGAAAAATTGTAAATAGAGTGAAAAGGGAAAATGCAGATAATGTCACAAGTACAAATAGCCTATATAGTGTGCAGGGCATTGCAAAGAATTGACTGAAGACTGTGCTAGACAAGGACGAGGCTATACAGAGAAATATGAAAAGATCATGAATTTAGATATTACATTCCAGTAATTCCAGTTTTCCTTCCTTTTTCATTTGTTGTTAAAAAGCTAACAAGCAAGGCCATGCCAAGGACATGAGAAATCCTGAGGTCATTTGTTCAAGTCCTTAGGCTAGTTAATTTATTCTTTGATTCATTTTTTGTACCAGGCAACATTTATAAGTTTACCATATTTATTTTATTTAGAGATTAAACCAGTGAATTGACCAGTTTAATATAGTTCATATAATGAAAAAAGGAGGTGTCAAAACATGTTTGTATTCTCCAAAATAACTATACCAATATCAATACCCAGCCATAGTTCTTTAATAACTTATTTGTTTTTGTTGGTCAAAGAATCAGCATGTAAAGTAACCACCATGTGTATGTTTTAATTGGAATATAAACCCCATGCATGGTCTACACTGACACTGTAAATAGATGCACCACAAAGCTCAATATAGAAACAAACAAACACTTAACTAGTGATGAATATAAGCCATCAGCAACATCATGTGTCCATTCCAAAAATGCCTTACATTATGTAACAGTAATGTTCTATTGTAGGACGATCTGTAACTCTCCCAATGTCATGGTTGCCTATTTTTCTTTTGTTCATTCTCTGTTGTCATGTGCATTATTGTAACATAAAAAAAATCCACCTGTCTCTTTAACACAGTGAGAGTAGCTAATTTTGGTTTCCCATCTGTTTTGCAAGAGAATTTTGTTTTGAAACAAGGATCACAATAAGAACCAGAAGGCTATGTTTTTGAGTAACTGTTGTGGTTTAACGTCATTATTACAAAAACGGACCTTCACCATGGAGAACAAGAATGGTTTCTGCAATCTCAAGATAGCAATAGGAATTAAAAGCAGATAGATAGATAGTTTTGGTCTATATATAGGCTACATATATGATTTGATTTTAATCAAATGACCACACAGTAAACATGAAAATTTGTAAAAGGCCTATTGCAGCAATCAAATACAAGGTTGACTAAAGCTACTATGAGAAATCCAAACTAAAATGTAGACTATTTACCTAAGAAAAGCAAACCATTTCAGAATCTGTTTGATGGCCCTATGTCATCATTATTATTTAAAATTTTACATTATGGTACTCTATGGTAATCATGCGTAAACAGAAACTCTGCTACATTTGTTTCTCTCTCGTTTCATCCTTTGCTTTCCAAAATAAATGAGCACCGAGCTTTAACTTTGAAAATATCAGAGCGGAAGTGATATCGCAATAGGTTTCCTGTTGTTTGTTTTGGGATAGCATCTTAAAAGCTACTACTTAAACCCTAAGTTTGTATTGTACAGCTTATTCATTTCCAACAAATGGACTGTTGCATTGTGTCCGCATTGTGGTATTTTCTAGTATTTTATTTACTATTTCACTTCCTGTGCTTCATTTTCGCGGATGCAGACTTCACTTTGCTGTGGGCTAGTCTGGTAGGACACAGGCCAGGTCAGTACCCGTTTCTTGTGTCCAGTCTTTTATCCACAAAAAGCCATAGTATTCATCTGATTATTTGATGGGGCAGTCAGTGGTAATGGTTTTATTCCCTTGTGAGTCTGGTATAAACCGCTAAGCAATAATTAGGCAGTTCTACACGTCTGCAAGTCTTCCAGTTTAGTGCAACGTTGGTTATAGGCCTATCAGTTGTTAATATTTTCAGACGTGGCAGCCCACAAATCCTAAAATAATACCAAAAATATAGACTTATAAATATAACCAGTCAAATGTAGCCCATACACATTTTATAAGTGAAGGTAGTCTACTTTAAAAAATATTTCTCTTAGTGCAGCAATAGGTGTGAAATGAGAAGCAACTGTATAAAACCTTTTTTTCTGCAGTGGTGCAAGTTTAAAATAGGCCTACCATAAAAAGAAACTACTCCAAATAAAAGTACTGTGCCTTGTCAAAATGTCTTCTGTTGTATTTGCTGTAAGTGAGGGGCTATCACTAGTATGCTGTGTTAAACCTGCCACTACAACACCCATCTAATGTCTAAAGTCCAGTCAGTAATGTACAAAGTAGTTGTTAAGTTCTGTTTGAGATGCTGACAGTGGTGATATTGTGTTAACCAGAGACTAAGCTGAAAGGTTTAGTGGTGTGGATCACTGGAGCCTCCAGCGGGATCGGAGAGGAGCTGGCATACCAGCTGGCAAGGTGTGGGTCACGTCTCATCCTGTCAGCTCGACGTGAGGATGAGCTAAACAGGGTAAAACGGTGCTGTTTAGGTGAGAGAATCATTTCATTACTTTTTGCATGTTACTGACTGGCCTGGGCAAAAAAAGGCTTCTTAACATTCACCAGTTTAAATTCTTTAACAACACTCCAGTGCAATACAATAATAACATTGTCCTAAGATTTGGTTATTTATTTATTTTTTCCTGCAGTTACCCTTCATTCTCAAACCAACAATAAATCACTTAATGGTTTTTGTGTGTCACCTGAGTTTGTTTCATTTTCATTCAGTCTTACTCACTTTTGGCCTGCTGATTTTTTTTTTTGTCATTTGTTCTTCCAGAACAGTCCAACCTCCAGGATGAAGATATTTTTGTTCTTCCACTTGATTTGTTGGAGAGGGCGTCGCATGAGGAAAAGATGAAAACTGCAATCCAGCACTTTGGACATGTCAGAACAATGCAATTGCTCTATTATAATACAATGCTTTTCCATCATTAGTTTCATTGCAACATTTCTGTTTGATTAACAAAAAGAAATTATAGAGATTCAAATCATGCTGTTGTCCTTGTTTCTGGTTCTGTTTCTGTCTGCTTTTTTCTTACCTTTTCAGGTTGATATCCTAATAAACAATGGTGGCCGAAGCCAGCGTTCTCTGTTCTTAGAGACCAATGTTGATGTGTACCAGGCCTTGATGGAGCTCAACTTCCTGGGTACGGTCTCCATCACCAAGCAGGTGCTGCCTCACATGACAAAGCGAGGCACAGGGAGCATTGTGACTGTCAGCAGTGTGGTTGGCCTCGCTGGGGCGCCGCTGGGAACAGGATACTCTGCCAGCAAGCATGCTCTTCAGGTGAAAACAGGAGTTGTTTGGTGCTGAACTACAATAGTCAGAGTTTGATGTTTTCTAATTTTTTCTCAGATTTATGCCAGTTCTGTGTTCAGACAGTTTTTGCCAATGTATCTGTTTCTCAGAGCAGTTCTGGTTGATCTACCTTTACATGTATCCTTAATGTTTTATTAGTGCTGTATGTAAAATTACCTTTACAAGTGATTGGGAAAAAAAATCAGTCTTTCCTGATAGTTACTTGTCCACAGGGATTCTTTAATTCCCTTCGGACTGAGCTGACTGACTATCCAGAACTACTCATCAGCACAGTGTGTCCAGGGCCTGTGCAATCGCAGATCGTCCACAACGCCTTCACAGAAGAGCTGAACAAGGTAGTGTATTGTATTTGCTATAGAGCTGTTGATTTTGAACATAAAAATCCTGTATTCGATATAAGGTATGTGATGTGATATCACAGTAGTTGTTTCAGTAGTGTGAGTTCAGTAAGCTCTTTTTCCTTCCATTACCTAAGCCTGTGGCCACAGCTGGCAACCAGGAATACAAGATGCCAACAAGCCGCTGTGTGCATTTAATGCTGGTGGGAATTGCCAATGGTATCAAGGAAATGTGGATCGCAAAGCAGCCCTTCCTCCTGTTCAACTACGCCTGGCAATACACTCCCACAATTGCCTGGTTCATCACAAACATCTTGGGCAAGAAAAGGGTGCAGAATTTCAAAGCTGGTATGGTAGGTATAATAATGTTCTCTAGAAAAATGTACATGCCTTTAGTTTGGGTACATCAGTGACATAGCGGTAAATAGGATCCTCACTGTCTACCCATGCAAGTACTAATACATTGGTAAAAATCCAGATACAGTATGTCCTACTGATGTTTACCCACTTTCATTCTCTCACATGAAAGCTTTGTGAGCGCTAGTAAGCACATCTGTCATATATGCATGGAGATGTCTAGTGCATTTTTTAAATTTGGCCTGAATGAACTAATTATCACCCCCCATCGCCACCTTTCTACAGTTAAAAAGTAACTCATTTAAACTTGTGTGCTACAGTGAAAGAGGATTAATTTTCTCTAGTAAATCATACTCCTGATTCAACCTCCCAGCATAGCTTCAACTAACTTTAAAGGAATAGTTTTAATGTATCATTTGTGTAATCCTTAAAAAAAACTAAGTGCATAAAGGAGAATTTGGTTCTGAGAAGCTGCCCGTCAACCAGCATAGACTCCAGAAAGTTACCGAACTTGTTGATAGTCCCACATATAACCCTTTGTAAAGTGAATTTGTGAACTTCAGAGGTGGTGGTAGGCAGATTTTACCTTTGTGCAAAGCCGTAACATGGCAGCCACAATACAGAGCTGTCTTGGCTCAGCTGTTCATGACCTTGCTTGAGTCTAGTAAGAAGACAATAGCCAGGATATGACAGAGAACATGACTACTTCCCTGCTGGCTGACTGACTGACCAGACCGTCTGGTGGCCTGTGCTGGTCAGCCATAGCTGAGGGCCGTGCAGAAATGTCACGTTCCAACTGGCCAGACATTGGAGAGTCACAAACTTATGCTTCAGTCTGTGATGTATCCTGTGGAGACTAAATTAATTAAACTGATGTCT